TACACTTTCGATGAAGTCATTGAAAATTCAACTATATGTATAAACACTTATAATATTTATATATTTTATGTTATGTTAATTATTATATTTTGAGTAAATATATCATTCATATTGACGTTTAAAATTTGAACTTAGGATGGCTTAAGGAGTCAACACAAAATCATGTTTCAACGTTCCTGTCGTACGTCGTACTTATTGGGTCTTTACTGTTATGTTGGTTTTTTATTTTGATATGTGTAGACAACCCAAAAGAAGTTGCTGTTGGAAGTGCGATGTGTGTTTGTTGTTGTTGTTGTATTTGAAGTTATTATAATATTTGGTTGTTGTTGTGTTCGTTTGTTAATATTGTCACATTGAATTGGGCTTGTTGTTACATTGTTGTATTGTTGTATATGCGTTTCAGTAAAAATAAATTAGAGATAAACTCAAAAATATCACATACGAGTTGTGTATGTTTCCCTGGCTATTGTTGGCTGTTAAAACTAAATTCATGAATTATCAGTTATCAATTTCTTTGTTGTTATTTATATAGTTTGTTTAATTATTATTACGATAAATGTTATGCAACTGTTTTATATTATTATTCGTTTTCTTCTTGCTTCACAAACATGTGCAGATTGTGTGTGTGTGTGTGTGTGGGTGACTGTGTCTGTATGTGTATGTGTAAGTGTAATATATATATATATATAAGTATATCAATCGAATTTCGAATTTTCAATTAGTTGTTGTGGATTTTTCAACTTGGTTTTATGATAAGCCAAAAATTTTAACATCTTTTTATAAACTTCAAAACTGAGGATGCTTAAGACTGTTGCTTGTTGTTAACTGAAAAATTGTTCAGTAATTTCAAAAATTTCGTATTTAACTTAATCCGTTTGTTTGCAGCACAGTGTGCGCCAAAAGTATGCACGCCTGTGCTGCTCTATTGCAGTTGTGAAATTAAAAGTTGACGCATCTCTTGTGATGCGACCAAAAGTTGGTATTCTCTGATACTCTACGCCAAATAAGTGATAAAAATGTACATTTTTCTCGAAACATTTTGTTACTTCTTTTTTGTCATCTGGGTTCAAAAGTTGTTGGAATTTTGTGAATCGCGTTCGCTACTAAAAAAACGCAATCATTTTAAGTATTCGTTTTCGTTTTTTGTTTTTTTGTTTTGTTTTTGTCGGGTTTTCTTTTTCCGCATTTTTCTTGGTTTGTATTTACCTAAACTGCAAATTTTTGTGCTCATTTTTGTTATATTTCGTTATTGTTTTGTGATCAGATGTTTTCCAAAATCAGGATGTTTAACTAACTTACCTAAATAGAATGCAAGTACATATCATTATTATGATTTGAAATTTCATTCTGCCTTTTGCCAAAATCTTTGTTTTATTTGATATACATATACTATGTCTACAATGAGATACAAATTGTATCTGTAACTGTTGATGTATCTGTATCTTATGTTGGTTTTGGCACATGTTCTAGAAACTTGAATATCATTTGCGCGCATTTTCAATGCATTAAAGCTCTGTGTATAAGGATTGCCTTTGCCCTTGGCTGAGTTGTTGCTTGGGTTGTTTTGTTGGTTGGTTGGTGTGGATTTAAGGGGTTTTATTATTCTGTTTGGGTTTAGCTTTTAGGTTTGTTTGCTTATGCTTAAACTGTAGTAATATTTAATTACGTGTATGTAGTTGTATTTAAATGTGATTTTATGTACAAATTTAACCAATTGTTCTCATTAAATCTTTTCATTCAGTATATGCGGTAATCGGTATTTTGGTATTTTGCGGTAATAATGCATTAAAATCTAGTTAAAATTGCATATGGCTGCATTTGCATTTATATTTCGTATTTTGTTTATGTGTAGTATATAGTTTGGTTTTTGGTTTTTGTTTTTCGATTTTCGTTTTTAGATTACGTGTAGTTCTTGATTTTTTTTTTATAATTTGCTTGTGGTTATGCTCACAATCAGTTAATCGGTAAATCAAATTATTCCGCTTTAGTTTTTCGGTCTGTCATATTGCTGGTGCTGTGCAGCACTGCAGTTGCCACACAGTGCGTTAACCAATACTGTGCGTCATATTTGCTTGTGAAGGGGGCTTTTTCTATACGGTTTACCTGTTTTTTTACCTGTCTGGTTGGCTGTTTGGATGCGGCTGCTTGGCTGCTGTCACTGCGTTCTGATCTGGCTTTTGTTTATTGTTGTGGTCTGTTTGCTGGTTTGGCTGGCTGGTTTGCTTGCTTCCTTACAAGTATTCAATGCTTATGCTAATGTCCTGGCTCTCGTTTATTAACCAGAATGTAAACTGTACTTGGCCACATTGATGTGGAATGGCGCAATGGGGCCACAAAAGCAGTGACAAGTATTTGAATAAATTATTTAAACTGGTCTCCAGGCTATGGCGATATTCAATATTTGTTTCATATTTTGGAATTTTTCAACACCAAAATCTCGATCATACATTTGTGTGTGTGGTTAACAAAACGCAATTTGAGCGCCTCAAAAGTAATTGCCAAAGAGTGTGAATATACTTTAAGGATTGCCGTTGCTTTTATGGACCACATTTTGACCTTTGATTATACATAGTTGGTATGAAAAATATTCGCTTACCGTTAGTTGTGCTTGGTTGTGATTTGGTTTTGAATTTGTGTTGTTGTAGTGTTGGTGAAGGCCAATCAATCCAATAGTCTCTGATAAATGCCGAAAGTTGTGACGCTCGTTCGAAATTTGTATAATTAAATGAAAATAACCGAAAATGTTGAGAAAAAATAATGCCAAAGTGGGGAGCAATTTTGTAAAGAAAAAGCAAGCACCGTTTGTTTTTTTTTTGTTGTGTTTTTTTTCTCAATGAATTTTGTTTATTAACCAATTATTAATATGCCTTTTTTGTTTTGTTTTGTTTGGTTCACTTATAGTATAATTATGTATGTAAGTATAAATGTATGAAATATGTACGTATGTATGTCAATTTATATAGTATATGTAGTTGTATGTATGTTGTTGTGTATTGTATTTTTGTTGTTCATTTTCTTGGTACGCAAGTGTAAATGTGCTGATTAAAATTTTCAAACTTCTAAATTTCTCAATTATCTTAAATATCGTCAATAAATGAGCTATGACATTTTGTTTTTAGTTTTTAGTTTTTTTTTTTTAATGGTGTGTTCTTACTAAATCTACACAAGGAAATAAATTGACAAACTGAAACAGAACAGAACTTTAATTTTGCAAATTTGTCTTTTTTGTTTTTGCTGTTATTCATTTTGACGGACTTTTTTTTTGGCTTTTCTCATCTCTTACGAGTATATCAAATATATGCTGAATTTTGACTTGCTTAATTTATAAAATTTTGCCTAAGGTTTTTTTTTTCGTAGCCAAACGTTTTGTAGCATTTGTTTATTGTTAATACGCCTTAAATTGCCTAAAGGGGGTTTTTGAAAAAATATTTTCAATTTCGATTAAATTTTTTCGCTTTCAATTTACTATTTTTTTGTTATCAATAATTTCGTATGGCTGCTCGTGTGGATCGTGGGCGCAACCACCGCCCACCGGAGCCGCCATATTGGTATTTACCGAAACAGTAATGTAGTTTTTTTACGTTTCTTATGTTTTTTTTTGTCTTTTTGGTATTTTTTTGTTTGTTTTTATCACAAAATCAGTTACAATTGTATTTAAATAAATTTTTAAGTCGACTTCAGTGCCAAAAGTACTTTTTAGTTTCAATTTCGTTTAATAAATTTTGTAAAGGCATTAACAATCAACGAGCTTTCAATTTTGAGTTTTCAATTTCGATTTCTGTCTGCTGCAAGTATGAAGTGAAACGAAAATCCTAAAATAAAATCAACTGGATAAAAGTCAAAATAAAAATATTTGATTTTTTTCATATTTAGCCAAGATAATAAATTTATGTTTGTACGCTTTGTTAGTCTAATTATACATTTTAAATTTAATTTTTTAAGAAATTGCAATTTTTATTTAAATTTCGATTTGAATTTAAATTTTCAAAGTTGTTCGCATTAGATTAGGAAACTCACCGTTTATAGTTGTTTAATTTTGTCATAATTTCGCCGAATTGCATAAAATTTTGTTTAGTTGACCATACTTATGTGGTTTAGGCCTAAAACTTTTTGTTAGTTCGTTTCAATTTTGCTTTAGCTAAAATTCGACTATTGTTAAAATTTTGCATAATCATTGGGTTGCCAAAAGGTTTGCATTGTAATGTTGTACAGATCAGCTTAGAATCAGCTCGTACTGTACGCCTATATAAAGCGGTGTTCTTCCGACTCTAATCATTAATTTCCAGCCAAAAAGTGCTAGGGGGCGTTAGGGGCGGGGCGTGTCGGAGTTGAAAACGAATGCCGACTTGTGAACTGCTTAATGCACATGATGGGCCGAAATTTCTGTGTTTCGAATGCTTGCCGCAAAGTTGTTGAGGAATATTTGTTTCATTTTGTTTTGTTTTTTTTTTTTTTTGTGAATGATAATATTTTGATAAATATTTTAGCGATGTATTTATGTGTTTGTTGATACTGATGTTGATGTTAGTGTGCTGCTGTTGGTGAAGTGCAGCATTGGTTTGCCCACCCTTTGACGAGGCTCAGAGCAGGCAAACATATCCCTCTTAACCCGCCCACTTTCCATGTTTGGTATGAAATGAAGGTGCATTTCGAGTTTCACAGCCGGCTTCACGACAAAATGTTTTATAATAATAATGTTACATCGATTTGAATGTCAACTGATAAGAAAAGAAACTCAAATATTTGATATTACAGTGTTGTGATTTTTTTTGTGTATATATTTTGTATTTTGTTTGTATTTTGTTGCAACTTAAGGCCAAGTAATTTAAACTAAACATAAACTTAAACCGAATGCTATTCAACTAAACGTATAAATATGTACATAAATAACAGACTAGTGTGTGTGTGTTTGTGTGAGTGTGTATATGTGTGTGTGTTCTTGGGTATTTAAAAAATTAATATGCGTGCACAATTTGGTGCAATTAAAAATGAATGTTTTATTATGGGGCATGTTTCAAAAATAAATCGCATTCAAATTTAGATTTTTTAACAATTAACTTTGGTCGTATGTTTGCATAACATTATATAAAATTTAGCTACCCTAACGCCCTCTGCTAATACAAATTATTATTAATTGTTCGTTTTAAAATACTACGCGCAAGATTTTATACTTTTTTTCTTGATCATTTTTTTTTTAAATTTTATATTTTTGGTTTTTTTTTTTTAATAGACATCGAATATATGCTTAAGGTTAAAAGGAAAGAAGCAACCTGAACTTGGCTTATTTAATTAATATGTTTGTTGATTTAAGCAACAGAATTGCACGAGACTTTTTTAAAGCTTGTGCAATACTGTCTGTAAATACGTACTGAAAAGTTGGTCTGCAATTGGAGCCGATTAATCAAAGCGATTGCTCCAACCGGAAAGCACTTTTCAATCGGCTAAAAACACACTTTAAATTTCTGCGAAAACTGTACCGATGTGTATTAGTGTGGGTGTGGTTGTGTTTGTATTTGAAATGTGTGTTTGTGTGAATGTGAATGTGTGTCAACTTTCGGTAGATTATTAGACGGCTCAACTATGTATGTATTTTAAATATATACGTATTGTAAAAATATTTTTTAAAAAATTTCAACTAGCAAACCAACGGTCAGAGTACAGTTTACACTCTGCATAGATACATTTTTTGGTATGTGTGAGAGTTTCTCTGTTTTTAACGGCTCAGGTGTTTTTTTTATATTTTGTTTTTGTTTTTTTTTTTTTAATTTGCACTATAGTATTTCTTGTTCAAAAGCGATGCATACTTTTCAGCGATCAATTATTTGGTGGCTGAGGCTTGTTGTTCAGGTATGTGTTTGTATGAATTGGTGTTGTTGTTGTTGCTGTTTGTTGTTGCATCAAACCTAATGCGAAATGCGGCTATATTTGTATTTTGTTGCTTTTAGTACGCTCCGCAGAGCGTCGACGGCATTTTCGAAATTTTTGAAAAAATATTTTACGGCTCTACAGAATTTTTGTATTGAATTTGAATATGTTTTAGTTGTTGCTGTTTTTCTTTTTGTTTTTACTGTTTTTCGACGAGAGGCCTAAATCTGCGAATACTTAAGAAAGTGTTGCCTCTGTTTTGATGATGTGTGTCTATAATACAACGTTACTGTGCATTATATCCAGTTGTATTTCTTACGTAGATTTAACTTTTTGACTTTTGTTTTCGCTTCGCTTTCGGCATTGTTGTTGTTGTTGTTGCTGCTCTTGTTGTTGTTGCAGTTGTTGTAGTAGTAGTCGTAGCAGGGTTCGTAGGATGATTCAGGGGCGGTGGCATTGTTGGCAAAGCCAACTCCTCCACTTATTCCAGCTGCTCTAAAAAATTCGGCGACTTGAAGTACTCGGGCACGGGATCGTCCATGCGTGAGATTATTTTGTATATGGATTTCTTCCACGATTGCTCGGTGTCTTTGCCACCCTGTATTGCACGGAAAAATTCACGCAGTGTCTGTTCGACCACAAAGCGAAAATTTTGGGGTACCTGCGAACGTGGGCGAAGCCGAAGGCGTACGATAAAATTAGCAAAAGGTCACAGCAGCGAAACTCAAAGTGTTAGTATGTGTGTTGATGTGTGTGTGTGTGTGTGTGTTAGTGTATTTTCGATTGTGTGTGTGTGTACGTGTGAGTGTTTGAGTGTGCTCTAAATATCAGCTATAAATATCAGCGATGGTTCATATCCCACTCTCTCTACACTCACAAGCACACGACACTCTGTTAATGTTGTTGTTAACAGATCTATAATTACTCGTAATTACCATTCGCAAGCAATTCTCAACTGCAACTATTTCAGTGGAATTCAAAAAAACATTACTTAATTACTTAAATGTGTGTTTTAAGTAACACTTAGGTAACAGCAATGATTGAAAGTAATTGTTGTTGAGAATTGATCTTATGCTCGTTTCTATTTAGTGGCGGTAATTGAAAGTATTTACATCTCTTGTTGATAGTGGGAATGTTGCATACCTCAATGTGATTATTGCGATTGTAGTGCAAATTGAGCACGCGATATAATTCACTATCTCCAGCAATCAACAGATCATCGGGTGTCTTGATGCCTTCAGTGACAGCTTGTCGTGCATATTTCTCCATTTGTATGTAGTAGAATTCTCTGCAGATGCGTAGATGAGGAATATGTTTGGATTGGTCAGTATACTAAATAGCTATGCTTTTGTTTTTTGTTGTTGATTTTTTAGATTTTGGTTGTTTTTTTTTTTTTAGTATTTTTTTTTTGGACAGCATTCAAATTTACGAAATCAAAGTAAAATGTACAAAAAAACAAAACATGTAAGATACAAATGAAAGAAAAGAAAATGCAAAGAACATAAAAAAATATACGGCTAAATTAGACAACTGAATTCGAATACAAAAGTTAAAAGATCTCTCATGCATACACAATACACCCAAAGCGGAGACTTGCTTTCTCTCTCTCGCTTGCACACTCACGCTCATGCCCACTCTCTCGCACTCACACGTCTCTGCTAACTAGTGCTAAGCCTACTTAGACTGCCTTTTTGCCTCTATGGGTTTAATGCATTATATTGGATCGACTTTGCAATATGACATTATTAATAAATTTAGCAGCATACTCTTAGGCGCGCCTTTGTGTCCTACCCTCAAAAAGCCTCGACTCTGCTTGTGGGTGGTGTATGGGTGTATGTGTGTGTGTGTGTGTGTGGGTGTGTGTGTGATTCTTGTGCTTCTTTGTTGTAAAGAATTTTTAATAAATCTCAAATGTGCAACGACAGCGCTGAGGGGTATATGAGGCATATATGCACATATATCCTGCACGTATATCCTGGCGCTTAACAATTGCAAGTCAACGGGCAGCGTCTTCTCGATGCGGTTTGCACCGCCAACCAGCCGTCGCCCTTGCCTGACGGCTGACTGTTGCCTGCCGATTGCCTGGTGGTTGGGGACTTAATTAGCAAGTGCAGTGGTGCCACAGTGGTGCCTGTTTATGCTCCTCGTGTTGGCAGCTGTGTCGCCGCCTTGTTTAGTCAAGTGATTTGTGTCTGCACCAGCAGCTGGCTGGCGAGGGGTGTGGCTTGGGGTTGTCGGTTCGGGCTGATGTATAAGTGATTGCTTGTCTTTTTCTAATGAACGCTCCTCCACCACCAACTGTCAGTGAGCAGTGCTGAGTAGCAGTCTGTGTATATTTTGTTTGTAATTGTTGCTTGCCGCCCACTTGACAATCCGCTCCGATAATCGCGCTAATTTCAAGATTTCCCAGCAGTAGACCGCCAAATGCAGTTCTTTTTTTCTGTTTTTGCTCTTGTGTTGATTTTTCCAAACAATAAGCGCGAATTGCGCAAATAGAACAGATTGCCAGCACGGCCGGCTAAATCTTTGGCATGAAGAACGAGAAACGAGAAACGAGAAAGGAGAACGAGAACGAGGCCTGTCAAGCTCGGTGCGAGCAGGAGTTCCCTGGAGGCAACTGCCACGCGCACTTGAACAGAGCCAGAGTCCCTACAATGGGCATCGGTGGCCATAATAATGAGTCGAGCACAACACACAAGAAAGCCGCCAGTACAAATTGTGACAGTTTTGCGTATGTATAAGTGTGTGTATGTGTCTGTGTGTGTGTGTGTATGTGTGTGTGTGTGAGTGTTGCTTTGTTTGAGCTTGCAACAATATCTGAATATCTGCGGTTGCAACTGGAGGGGGCACTGTGTGTCTATAGTTATTAGGCGTTTGGCAACAATGCATTTGCCTACTTGGAAAAGCACAATAAATAAATTTTTTTTTTTTTTTTTGATGCAATTAGCTTTGGGTTTTCTTTTTTATATATTTTTAGCTGTTGTTGTTTAGCTTGAGGCAGGCATTCAAATGCCACACACATCAAGTGTTAAAAGTGGGGCCAGGAAAAGGAAGTTTAGCTAACTGCCTGCCACAAGTGTGTGAGCGCTGCGCCACTTAATTTAGATAATACGCTACTAAAAACACACACACCACACACACACACCACACACACACACAACACACACACTCGCACACAGTCGTCAACGGATGTGCAGTCGCTTCTATAACTAATTAGTTTTATATATTTTTCGTAGCCTATTTACAATTCAGATTTGTATGCACATTTTTTTGGACGTGGGCGGGGGGCGTTTCAGCTGCTTCTTCAGCCCATTTAAAAGCAGGCAAGCGTGCGTGAGTGTCTCTGTGTGTGTGAGTGTGTGTGTGTGTGCGTGTCTAGTTGAGGTAGCTGTTGCTGTTTTTGTTGTTGTTGTTGTTGTTGTTGTGTGTCAAGTCTGCTTCTTTGCTACTTCTTTGCCTTTCTTCAGAAGTGCCATTCACTTATGGTATATGAATAGAGAATAAGTACATTAATAAGCTCACACATACTCACCCACACATATGCAGACATCTCTACCTCATACATTAATGAAGTAATTGGCAACACTTAATATACATGTACATATATATAATATATATATATACTGAAATATGTGTGTGTGTGTTTGTGTGTGGGTGTATGTATTTTTTTTTCTTTTTACATATATACGTATTTTGTGTGCTGTTGTTTGTTGCTGTTCATATTTCATAATATTTTCCATATGTATTTTTTTTTTTTTTTTGGATTCAGCAAGATCTTTTCACGCGGCTGGCAGGCTGGCTGGGAGTGAAAGGGTCGGTGGAGGGGGTGCCTAAGCGCCAAAAGGACACTTAACCTCAAAAATGCTTGATGAAAAAAATGGAAAAAATAGAAAAAAGAAAGAAAAAAAGAAAACACAGCGCATATGTGCGAAAATGTGTGTGTGTGTGTATGTGTGTGTGGAGTGCCTTGCATATCCTTGAGCGCCTTTTGCCAGTTGAGAATAGTGAGGAGGAGGGCGAGTGGTGCTGCCATTATGCGCATCTCTCCAGGCGCGACTCTCAAGTAGCTTGCCCCACGAACAAAACGTGGCAGCCAAAGAAACGAGCTCCTCCTAACTGGCAGTCAGTCAAACAAACTAATTAGCCTGCCCCTAACTGTACTTGTGTGTGGATGTTTGTGCAGGACATGCATGGGTCCTTTGGATGCTTTCTTTTCATTATTTGCATTTGCCATAAGAGTAACGGGCAGATAATGCAATTATATAAGTGCCATACAAACACAAAAGGCACTTTTGCTAATTAGCCAACACAAAGGCAAAAGAGTGGCAAGAAATGGCTTGAATGCTGCCCATTCAGTACATCATACATGGCTCTGCAGCACAACTACTTTTTATACATATATATTTATATATATTTTTTAATAATAAGCAGCCAGCCACAGCAGTTGCAACTTTCTTTCACACTTCGAGCATGTGAAAAGTGGCCAACATCCTTGGAACCCTCATCTCAACTCAGTTGGAGGCTGCCCCTTTTGCATTTTCTTAAGTGGCCACTACAAGCGGCATGCAACATGTTATTAGTAGTAAGCAGTCTAAGGGTCTCTCTCTGTGTGTGTGTGTGTGTGTGAAACTCATAATGCTAAACTTCGCTAGTTAGAAAGCAATCCTTGAGTTGCAATATGAAAAAGATATACTCAAAATGAAACAAAATTGCATGAGATAAAAAATGCAAACAAGTTGCGTTTGAAGTAATTGAAAAATAACCGTTACATATTAAACAACCCCTAAGCGTTAAGGACTGTGAAACTAGAGGACCAAAAAAACATAAAGAAATCAACAAAAATATTCCCACCCATTTTAACCTCAGCAGTCGAAAGTTGAAGTCGCTCAAAGATACGCCAAAGAAATTCCCATGCAAAAGTCGCTTTTCATTCATAAGAAAAAGGCGACACACAACCCCTTTTTGTGGAGCCGGGGCAGAGCCAACCCCTAAGAAGCAGTACAAAAGGTGCAAGAACCCAGAGAACAAATTCGGAAATTCCGACAAACAGCAGAGGGAAAAACCCAGAACGTGCTGCGATTTGTGTGCGCAGGTAACAAATGTCTTAAGACGTTGCGCATGTCTTGAGACAAATCGGATAGAGTAGGGCAGGATTGGGTAGGGCAGGGCAGGGCAGGGTAGTTTAGTTGCTTAAGCACGAGAAGGGACAGCTGCTAAGCCAATGAATGTATGTATGTATTTATGTGTGTGTGTGTTTTGTTAGGGGCTGCAAATCAAAATCCAGGTGAACTATTGTACTGTCGCGTGGATAGAGTGTTGCAGATGTGGCTCGCATTTGGCGCGAAAATCGAAGCGCAGTTCTTAACTGCAGGCAGCAACTGCAGAAGCCCGCATGGAACACGAGGAGCTGTCGCTTTGGCAGCTGTCGTTTATTTCTCTGATACATATATGTTTTTTTGGCAACTTCTCTCTTGCTCACAGCCTGACAGGCATATGCAAATTGCCAAATAATTTAAATATGTTTTTGTTTTTTGGGTGGTGTTGGGGTTTTGTGGGGATTTTAGCATTGCATGTGCGGATTTCTTGGAGTGCAAGTCAAAAGGGTTTTCGACAGTTGAATTGGAACTTTTTTTTTTGAAGTGTGCCTGACAGATATGCTGCTCGTCGTCGTTGTCATTGTTGTCTATTGCCATATATAGCTGTATAATACTAACCGAAAAAAAACCATAAATGAAATCATAAAAATGAATGCTGCTTGAAGAAGTTACATATAATAGAGTTACAAATATATATATATATATATATATATATATTGGGAATTTGGTGTTTGGAGGCGTGTGCAAAACTTACCGAAAATTCGAGAACCATTTCACCAATTGTGCTGTATTATTTTTGTTGAACTTGATGTCCGGGAAGTACATCTTGAGCACCGCTGAGCTTGGATAGCGGACCCAGAAGAACATCAGTTTCGCCTTGCGCAGGTGCATCGGTGTCAATGTTGAAGAGTGCAGAGGAGTCAAGGATTCGCAATGATTGCTACATTTTCATATATTTATGTATATATACATATCGTACAGATAGGGTATATCGTTATTATTATAGTCAATGCTGTTTTAGGCCCAAAGAAATTTCCATGTTCGTGCTCCAAGGGGTACCAAGGGGACCAGGGTTCGACTTCGAGATGGGGGGCATGTCTAACGTTTGCTGTTGCACTTTCGAGTGTTGCAAAGGCAGCAATAAATGCCAATAATGAACGTCTAAGGGCGCCGAGTAGCGTAAGGGTTAGTTAGGGCAAGGGGCGGCTGTGGGGTGTGGGGTGCTGAGCTTGCCACTTGGCTTTGGCTGATTGAAAACACAACAGCGAGAATGAGAAAAGTGACAAACAGTGTTCTGCATCGATATTCGTATACACTATCCATGCAAAACTCTCAATTGAAGAAACTAGAAACATTTTGAGCCTATTTAAAAATAAGGTGACAAATGTAAGGCATTGAAAAGTAACTGGTTTTCGAGTATATTCTTTATTTTTAGGAGAATTTAATAATGAGATCAGAATTTAATAAATGAATACTTTAGTAATAATATGTGTTAATAAATATTACTAAATCCGACCTTGCACTCAATCATAAATGCCCAATAATATAAGGGTATATTGAGAATGAATTCAGGCAGTTGTATGCGCTGCTTAGGGACAGTGTAGGGGCTGGGAGGAATAGAGGGGGTGTGTTACACTTGGAACTCATTGCAATTGGCTGCGCCGATTGGGCATTGATTTTTCTGGTTTGCTGTTGCAGCGATTCCAAATGCAACTCAAGCCAAGAGGCGGTCGAGACCGAGACGACGTCGACGACGACGACGACGACGATGATGATGATGACTTGAGGTGGTTGGGTGGTGGGTGTTGTATCGGGGCGTTTGCAATAAATAAGGTTTTGATTACATTTTATAAAAGAATTTAGTTGAAATGGGAAAATAAATAAACTGAAGAAGACACTTGATTGGTTTCGTTTTGTAAGCAACGGACCCGGACCCCAGCTCGTAAATGTACTTAATTTGCTCTACACCAAGAACCCCCCGGGGCACTAGATGGACTATAATGTTGGGTAAAACTCACTTGACCATTAGCATTGAATGCTCTCCGGATTGCAGGGATTGTTGCTGTTGTTGTTGTTTTAAAAAGGATATAGTAGGTTGCATGCCATCGAATGACATATCGGCCGAGTTGCACTCGGACTGTCGATCCTGGGCATCCATGACGGCACGCAGACAGGTCTTGTAATCCGGCGAGCCGCCATGATGAGCGGCTGCGAGGAGAGCGGGATGCAGCATCGTTGGCGGATGTGGCAGTGGCGGTGAGTCACGCGAGTCCATTAGGGCGCCCAAACTGCCCGGCGGACTTGACGACAGCTGCATCGGATGGTGGTGCTGGTGGTGCAACTGGGCAGCACTTGGCTGCCCACCATGTGGCGGACCGTGTGGACCCGGCGCCGCATGAGGATTAAAGAATGGACTGTACGGCGAGAAGACCTTGGACTCGTGCAACGATGGATTTGGTATGGCCACCGAGGTAGGCAAGGACACAGGCATCATGGGTGGTGGTGGTGGTGGTGGCGGATGATATGTGCCCGTGGACTGGCCACGACCCGTTGGGCTCTGTGCTGGCGTTGCATTGCTGCTGTTATTGTTATTATTGGTCTGCTGCTGCTGTTGCTGCTGCTGCTGCTGTTGCTGTTGTTGCTGTTGCTGCTGTGCGGCAGCAACTGCTGCTGCTGCTGCTGCTGCCTGTCCACTGGGCGGCACAACGCCATCCTGAGCTAATATGCGACTAACGGTACGTGGTGTTATACGCGTATCGGTGACCTTATGACGCTTCTTCTTGGGTGTTACGACCAGGCTCAAAGCCTCATTCTGCTCCAATTGCTGTTGGGTTTGCTGTGCGCTTTGTTGCTGCTGCTGCTGTTGTTGCTGCTGCTGTTGCTGTTGCTGCTGTGCGGCTTGCTGCTGCTGCTGCTGCTGTTGATCTGGTGGCAGGCAGAAGGGACTCGTCATCGAGTTGTAGAGCGCTGCGGCTGCAACGGGATTCATGCCCTGTGGCGTTTTGGGCGCCTGAAACATGGCCGCCGCTGTGGGCGAGGGACGTATGTGAGGTGGTGGTATATTAAGTGAACTTAAGCTATTGTTAGTGGCATTCGTTTGGCTAACATTATTGGACGCATTGCCTCCAGCAACAGCTGCCTCACTAGCATGCTGCTGCTGTTGCTGCTGGTGTTGCTGCTGCTGCTGTTGCATTGCTGCCGCGGCGGCAGCATGGTGCATTTGCAGACCCATCGCGGCGGCAGCAGCTGCGGCGGGTGAGGCAAAAGACAGCTGATTGCCATTTAAACGTGGTGCAGCAATTAGCTGCTGGCAATTGGGCAACTGTTGCTGTGCAGCAGCCATTGCAGACATGACTTGTGATTGGTTTAGTTGCGGCTGTTGTTGCTGCTGCTGTTGCTGCTGCTGCTGCTGCTGTTGCTGCTGCTGTTGTTGTTGCTGCTGCTGTTGTTGTTGCTGTGCAAGTTGCTGCTGTGCGCTATGCTGCTGCTGTTGTGCAAGTTGCTGCTGCTGTTGCTGCTGCTGTGCATTGACAACATTACTGTTGTTGCTGCTGCTGCTGTTGCTGTTTTGACTTTGACTCTGACTTGCCTGCTGCTGCTGCTGTGCGGGCATTTGACTATTAGCTAGTAGTAGTGAACCATTATTACCTGATTGTGTTGCTGGCGTCGGACCATTTTGGGCGCCCGTTCCCCGATCCGCGACGACCTTCGTTCGCGGCGACTTCCGGTCGAGTATCTGCGAGGCCAACATCAGATCCTTGTTGAGCTGCTCCGCTGCTGCGGTCACTGAATCCGCCTGCTTGCTGAACAGACGACGCTGATGCACAAAGCGGGTGACAATCGTGTCCACCAATGCGGACAATGATGTCGTTATCTCTGATTTGAGCACATCAGCTAAGCCCTCCAGATCCGTGCCAGACATTCGCATCATTGAGCTGTTGTTGTTGTTGCTGTTATTGCTATTGCTGCTGCTGTTGTTGTTGCTGTTCTGCTGTCGCAGCATTTGAAACTTCTCCGAGAGTTCGGACTTTAGAGCATTGTGTGCAGCAGCACCACCCATCCTTGTGGGTAGTCGGGCGGGAGGATGGAGTTGAGCGCGTGGCACGGCAACTGCAGCGGCAACATGTTGCTCGAGTTGCTGCTGTTGTTGCAGTTGTTGCAAGTGCTGTTGCTGTCGCTGCAACTGTTGCTGCTGCTCCTCTTTGCGGCGCTGCTGCTCCTGTTCCTGCTCAAAGCGACGCTGTTGCTCCTGTTGCTGCTGCTGCTGTTGCTGTTGTTGTTGCTGCTGCTGCTGCTGCTGTTGTTGTTGTTGCTGCTGCTGCTCGGCAGCCTCTTTGGCCATGCGTGCCTCTTGCTCGAAGAAGAATTGCTGATACATGGCAGCCGCATGCGACATATCGCCCATGTGCTGCAGTAGCGGTGGAAATCCTTGTGGCAGGGCAGGATGTGCCACGCCCACTAGAGGATTATGCTGCTGCTGCTGCTGTTGTTGCAGTTTGCTGGACATCATTTTGCTCATCATCTGTGTGAGCATGTTGGGTGTGGTTTCACTGCTACTCTTGTTGCTGTTGTTACTGGGTGGCTTCAGTGGTGGAGAACTGGAACCGGCACGCTCCACTACATCCTTGGGCGTGGATTCGCTTAGGCTGGGTGAATGGGAGAGCTCGATGTCATCGTTCTGTTGTTGCTCTGGCTCGTGCTCCTGTTCCTGTTCCTGTTCCTGCTCCATGCTGTCCATGTCCTGTTCGTGATCATTGTCCAGCTCCTGGCATTCTGATTCCTGCTCCATCCGTGAGCACAGCTGCACATATTTCTGTTGCATCTCAGCCAGTTGTTCCTGCATTGATCGCAGCTGTGACTTCAGCGCATTCTTTTCCACGCGCTTCTGTTGGATTTGTGGGGACTCCAGCTCATTGGATTCACTGTCATCCTGGTCGAGCATCATGCTCTGCAGATTCAGGCCGAAATTTAGACCCGCTGCAGCAGCAACGTACCGTTCCATGGCATGCTGTTGGGGCTGATAGAGCTTTCGCTTCTTGCAACCGTTCACTTGGAGCTGGCCAGCATGTGCCTGGACGGAGGAGGGACTACATCGCATGCTGGACACAATGTGCTCGACACGGGCGCGTTTCAGCTCCATGCCTGGTTTCTTTAGGCAGTTGGTGCTGTTGTTGGACTCACGTTTCGTTTCGATGCAATCATCATCTTCTTCCTCATCGTCATCGTCATCCTCGATGATGTCATCGTTGTCCAGCACCTCGTCCTTGCTGTTGTTGTCCAGTAGCATCATGTCCGAGTGACTGGGCGATGCCAGCGATTCCATATCCGAGTTGCGTGAGTGTCCCGAGTGTCCAGCCAAAGCCAACAGTTCCACCTCGTCCAGCAAATCTTCGACAGCCTCCTTTTTGGTGGGCAACTGCTCACTTGCCTCCGCAACTGTTGCTCCTATTGCCACTGCTGCTACTGCAGCTGCTGCTGGAGTTGCTCGTTCCTCGTCCAGCGAGTCAGAGGATTTGCGACGCAGACTGTCATTGCTGACAATGCTATTGCTGCTGCTGTTGTGGCTGTTGTTGCTGTTGCTATTGCTGCTGCTACTGCTGCTACTGTGACTGTGACTGCTGCCGCCGTTTGGCGAATGCGGCGCTTCTGTTGCTGCTATTAGCAGTTCGGGCTCACTTTTGATTTTTATCTCCGACATTTCGCAATCCTCAATCAAATTGATGCTCTCGGTGACAACATTATTGTTGTTGTTGGTGGTCGTATTGTTGTTGAGCTTTGAGTGCAGCTCCTGTTGCTGTTTCTCCTGATGTTGCTGCTGTTGTTGCTGCTGCTGTTGCTGCTGTTGCTGCTGCTGCTGCTGTTGCATTGCTGTGCGCAGCTCTTGATCCAGCTGCATTAGCTCCTTTTTCCCCTGCAATATGTTGCGCAGCATGTGATGTGCAACTAAATCGTGTTGCAATTGTTGCTGATGCTGCTGCTCATTGTTGGCGCCACCATTTAAAGAACTGACTGAAGCCGCACGCGGCGGTGAACCGCCAGCAACATCTGCTGATGCAACTGCTGCCGCATCCAGTGAGCGATCGCTGCAATTGGATACACGACGACTGTTGCCATCTTTGGTCGAGGATGACGAATGCGCCGATCCTGGCGATATTGAGGCATTATTATTATTATTGGTTTTATTGCCATTGCTGAGCGGCGTATTGTTATTGTTGTTGTTGTTATTGTTGAGCAATTTGCTGTTGTTGCTACTGCTGTTATTAAGGCTGCTAACCAAGCCAGCAGCACTCAAAAGCTCCGCACTGGTTGCCGTCTCCATGGCAGCTGCCAGCATCGCATTATCTAGACTCTGTGGCAGGCCACTGGTCGCATCCTGCGCCTGCTTCATTTGCCGCCCGAACAGCTCGTTTAACATTTTCGCCGATGTGCCACCGAATAGATTGCCAAAGGCAGCTGTCAACAGCGATGAGGCGGAATTTACCGAACCCGGCGAACTGCAGCCGGATAGAGCAGTTGCTGTTGATCCTGTTGCTGTTGCCGCTGATGTTGTTGCAATTGTTGTTGGGCTTAAATTTGTGATGTTGCCAGTGTTGTTGTTGTTGTTGATGTTGATGTTGTTAGTGTAGTGAAGTGCACCACCAGCGGCACCCGCAGCAGCCGCAGCAGCGCTACTCATGAAGGCAGCGGTTGCCGTTGCGCCGCCGTTGCTGCAGCTGTTATTGTTAACACTATTACTGACACTGTTACCGTTAGTATTACTGTTATTGTTGCTCAAGTCTTTGCTCAAGGATCGCGTGCGCGTGCGACGATTTCTCACCAAGTTCGCGTTCGAGTTGCAATTGCTGGCAACTTTGGTTGCAGCAAGAGTCGCTATTGGTTTTTTAGCCGCGCTCGTTGTTGTCTTGCCGACGGCCGTTGACTGACTGATTTGCCGTTTGTGTGCGTTACGGCGATTGCTACGACTGCGACTGCGACAGTTACTGTTGGCTGTTGGCGCTGCTGCTGCTGCTGCTGCCGTTGTCGTCGTCGTCGTCGTCGTCGTTGTCGTTGCCTTGTTGTTGCTTGCTTCGATTACGACGACGTCGTCCGAGTCAGAGTCGCCCTCGTCGTTGTCGTTGTCGTTATCGTCGTCGTCCGAGTCGCTGCCTCTGCCCTTACAATGCTTCTCCGCTTCGCTAACGTTTTCGCCGCAATTCGCCGTGTCGTCGCTGCCGTTTGTTTGTGTTTGTGTTAGTGTTAGTGCTGGTGCTGGTGTTGTCAGAACGTTGCCGCTGCCGTTACCGTTGCTTGCCTGCAGTGGCTGCGGTGCTGGTGGTGGCAGCGCAATCGCAACGCTCTTCGCCAGTTGTGGGGGTTGCTGCTGCTGCTTAGACTCTGCCTCTATCTCTGATGTGGCTATTGTTGTTGCTGTTGCTGTTGCTGCTGTTGTTGTTGCCTTTAGCAGCACATCGTTCTCATCGCTGTACAAACCAAAACAGTCCGCGTCGTACTCCTCTGATGACATCATAAGATGATGCCAAACAGCAGCAGCAGCGCGCGCTCTCCTCTCCACGTTGCCTCTCCTCACTTGCCCTTGCCGCGTTGCTCTCTTGTTCTTGCTCTTGCTCTTGCTCTTGCTCTTGCACTTTCGGTTGCTCTCTCACAGCACAAACAGGCACACACATGCAGGCCACTTCTCCTGCTTGCGATTAGAAGAGACAGACACAGAGTGAGAGAGAGCGAGAGCGCGTTTCGCCTTCGCTTGTGATTGGCTGTCACTCGATGCCGTCGTCGTCGTCGCCGTCGTCGTCGTCGGCGTTGTCGTAGCCGCGTTCTCCTGACTCCCCTCTTTTTTTGTTCTGCTCTGAGTATTGTAATTCGCCGCTGTTGCGCTCAGGCGGCGTATGTGTAATTTCAAGTTTGAGTCTCTTCTTCGGTCTCTGCCCGATCTGTAAGCTCTAATCTGTTATCTGTAATCTGTAATCAGTAAACAGTATCTTTATCCTTTAGCTGGTTGTTTTTGTAGGTCCGAGTTGTCGATGTGTGTGTGTGTGTGTGTGCGTGTGCTTCTATGCTATGCTTCAAAACTTTTTGTTTCAGCTGGCCCAAGACTTCAGATTCTTCTTGCGACTTCTTTTTATCCTTGGGCTGGGCTGCCTCTTTCTCTTCCTTTTCCTTTTCCTCTTCCTCTTGCTCTTCCTCTCTCGCTATCTCGCTCTCGCTGTCTTCGTTTAGTTGCGCCAAACTTTGAAATTTTGCTTTCGCTCAACTTGTTTGTCGAAATGTTACAATTCAAAATTGTTCGCGTTGTCGTTGTTGACAGTTTGTTGCAGTTGTTGTTGTTGTTGTTCTTGTCGATTTTGCGTCTACGTTTTCTACGTTTTTTTCTGCGTTTTCTAATTGTGAATTTTGTTTTGAATTTTCTTTCCACCACCACACACATGCGAATGTCCTTTGCATTTAATGTTATTTCAATTTGTTTTGATTTTGTTTTCTCCTTGTATTAATGGTCTTCGTTTAATTTTTCTTCCTCTTCTTCTTCTGCTTCTGCTTCTTCCTTTTCTTTTTACTTATTTTGCTTGTCGTTAGGTTTCGCTTTGATATTTATATGTAATTCTCTAAAAGTATTTTTTTCGGCTTCTTTGTCGAGAACTTGCGTTGAAATTTGTTCGTTTTCGTGTTATATTTATTTATTTATTTTTTGGTTTTTGTTTTTTGTTCTTTTTGTTTTGGCTTTCGTTTCTGTTGTTGTCTTGAATAATCCTTGCTTGCGTTCAAAAAGTGTTTCTGTGAATATATAGTAGAAGATGAAGTCACAAACAAGACTTTAACTAAATAAAAATACCGAATTATTGTACATAAGCAAGCAATTTAATTGCAAACAGCCAGCGACGGCGCTGAGAGGGATGGTTGCGGATGGGAATGGGTGGTAGTGGGGGGAGTGGGTAGCGGGGGGTGTTTAAATGGAAAGTAAAAGTGGCGAGCCAAAAGCTTTTGGTTTGGGTGGCCACTTGATTGGTTGGTGCTCGGTTGCTGCCGCTCGGGGGTTGACTCTGTTCGCCTGACCTTTGCCTCTGCTCTCCCTCCCCGTCCAGGCAGTGGGAAGGAAGCTGTAATCGATGTGTATGTGTGTGTGTGTGTGTGTATGTGTGCGTGTTTTAGTCCTTAATTCAGCTAAAGCCAACCCTTTGCCCTTTTTTAGAATGCGACAGGTTTTTATCTAATTTCTCCACTTGAGCTTATTTAGCTGGCAACTTCTTTCCATTTGTGTGTGTGCTCCTCGCACCCCCTTTTGAATATATCATATACCACATACGTGAACAATAACTGGAGATAACGAATGTGTTATATTTGGCTGATAAGCAAGTTTGACTTACTTTCGGTACAGCTACACAGATACACAGATACTTGTTTGTGAAAACACAGATACTTTTGCATATGCCCAGCGAACCGAATGCGTAAGCACTCAAAATAATCAATAAGAGAACTTTGAAACTGGGAAACTTTCCGCCAGCACATAATGCGTCAAAGTCACTTTGAATTTGGGGGCGTTTCTGCCAAGTTTCGACATTTGTATCTATCAGCGGTCATTTCTCATATTTATATAATAAAAATACATCTCATTTGCTCTGCATTTCAAAGAAATATGAATTTTGATTAATTTGACAGAAATATTATCTTAAAACCATTCAAAACCAAAAACTAATAAGAAATACCTATTTTATTTAATATTAAAATAATTTTTTAGCATTTCTCTTAAGCAAATTTAAACTATAATCGAGGTGACAAAATGTAAAAAGGTAAAATAAAAAATAAATGAATAACACTTTTTTTTTATTTGATAAGCATTTAAATATTTTTTTAAAAATTTGTTATAAAAAATTTAAGCTATAAAAAAATAAAAATATTCTAAATAAATCCAGTTAAATTGTTTAATTTAGTAGCAGTATTTATGAACACTTGAATATAAAATACAATTTAAAAAAATGCATAGAAAAGACGGAAAACTTAAATACGAACTTAGAGTAAAGTAAAGTAAGGGTAATAAGAAACTTTTAGAATACTACCTAAATAAAAAATAAAAAACATATACGCCCTCAATTACTGTAGGAAATGAATTCACATACTTAGTTAGTTTGTTAAGCTCTTAAAAAATGAAGTTTACTGTTCAAACTCGCCGGTGAGTCTGTCTGTCAACTCGCAACTTATCTTTTAGCTGTAGTAGTTGGAGAAAGCGGATTTAATTCATGGAATTCGAAGTTGCATCTGTATAAATGACATATGCAGTTTTCCAAGAACCGAAACCTCCCCTACGGGAGGCGATTATTTTAAAGCATTGCCATGACAACAAAGTCGCATTTGCCATCTAATTGCATTGGAATGCAGTTCTCGAGGCGCACAGAGGCAACCAACCCGCCCGTTTGCCCAAGTCAATGTCAACAGAAACTCCGTCCATACCCCACCCCTATGTGTGTCCTGTGTTCGGGTCCTTTAAAAGGACTGTACTTGGCAAGCGTGCAGCTTGCAAGGCAACGTTAAGAGCCACCCCTATACACATGCATACCTACACACACACACACACACACACACAATTTATACTTATGTATAAATTCATATCAAGGATCAAACTTGGGCTTGGGATGGGAACTGCAGAAATGCCACTGCAGTCTCGCAGATCTCTCTTAATATAGGTAAAACTTAGCCAAAATATATTTACCACAAACAAAGCGTTATTTTTCTCCGTCGTTCATCATAGATCCTCCTGCAAGGGAAAAACAAAATATTGGTTAACAAGATTGAAATTGTTAAAGGCAAGCAACTTCCATCATTTAAAAATGGGAAAGTTCAATGCACCAAGAACAACGGCTTGTCTTGAGCCTTGCTCAAACATCTACCGACCAACCCTCGGAACGAGCGCCCAAAGTAACATATGGCCCATTTCATAGTTTTGATAGCGCACTAGGGATCAAAGAAAGTTGGCTCACTATGAACTTGCCACCTACAAACGTGCCACAGTGGAAACATCAGGCGACTGCAGCGCACATAATTACGACCTTAACACATTTCTCTAGACAGGGTGTCTGAGCAGCAAATAGAAGGTTCTTCATATGTAGCGTTTTCTTTGAATATTGTAATCATTGTAACTGATTACAATAGTGGAATACAAATGCATTTAGTAGTATTATATTGAATCTGCTTCAGAATGAAAATTATTCAACATTTCTTAATATTTCCAGTCGCATAAGTTTTTTTTTTTTATCAATCTGATCATAATTACCAATCATTGACTGAATATTGTAGAGAAAACTTAATAAATATAATTGAATTTAATGTGCAATATAATCTATTGTTGAAAAATTAGTTTAAAATTCAAAAATTCAATATTTATATTTTGATCCAAATTTAAAAGTAACTCAACTGTATATAAAATAAAAATTCATTATATTTTAAGATCTATTAATAAAAAATTTATAAATTGCAATTAAAAAATTCCTTGCATATAATAGGAAGACTTAGAAGATAAGATCCCCATGAAAAAATCCCCCGAAGAAAAGCAAAAGCTCATTCAAAATCCAAAAAATACTATATATATTAAGATCAATTGACCTAAAAGTAATAAGTTGTCATAAAAACGATTTTATATGAAAAACTAATTAAAAATTTAAAATTCTAAAATGCCATACATAAAGTACTACTTCAATAATACCACATATTTCTATATGTATTCGGGTATATGTATTTATGTCGCAGCTGTTATCAGCACACACACATACACAAATTGCTGTGTTCCATTCACATTTGGGTTCCATAAAGCAGGCACATACTTTGCATGCACACACACACAGACACACACATATATAGATGTGTGGTATACACAGGGCGAATGTATCTGAAAGTGTGCTTTGGAATGTGCCTTCACAGATCGCGGCACACGGTAATGTACCCATCGCATTTACTGCCTACTGCCTGCTGCCTGCTGCCAACAAATGTACAAAGTGTGGCACAGCCATGTGTTCTCCTTCCACACCTCTCCTTGCTGGTGTTGTTGCTGTTATTTTTTGGCCGGGTGTCATCATTAAAATATGCTTTAACTCAACTTGGGCCGGGTGGCTAGCTGGCTAGCTGGCTAGTCGACTGGCCTGCTAGCTGGCGACACTTGGACACAATTGCGTTACGGTCAAGTGCTTTTGAAATCCGTTAAAAAATTCATCGCATTTGATGGCCTCAACATAAAAATATGACAGCGAATTCGTCTAATTGACACAAATGCAATTAGGCACTACGACTATTTGAGACTTGTATTCGATTTTAGATACTTTGCGAGAGCAGATTGCCAACTGCTAAAATAATCCAAACATGCACAGGCAGAAATCACAGTCTGAACTGGGGAGAGCCGCAGAGCCACAGACAGAGAGATAGAGAAAGAGAGCGAGAGAGATAGAGAGAGTGATCACATTCTCAACCCCCAGAGACCCGTATGGGTGTGTGCCTGCTGTGTATGATGATGATGATCGCAATCGCGATCGCATGACAGGCAACAACAACAAGAAAAAGTACGTGCCACAACTTGCAGCCACGAGCCCAGTGCGCACACCTGGGCACATATTGAGACTCGAACTCGAACTCGACTCGATCTCGACTCGATCTCGACTCGGCCTCGACTCGCTCTCGGGTTTTGACTATATGCCTGAATGCGCGTGCGCACAAGCCGATGATCGAGCAGGAAGGAAGCAGCGAGGCAAGGAGACCAGCAGCAACCCAAAAGGGGCGTTTCTGGCTTCTGTTCGTTAGTGGTTGACACAAAGAGGTAGAAACTGAGAGCGAGTGAATTCAGTTCCGATTTTTGATGCGTTACCTGAATGAAATTCTGTTGGGTTTTCTGTCGGAAGTTGTCGATCCTCAAAAAGTTGGAAAAACACCTTTCAACTTGTTTTTTTTTTCTGTGGTAATTGGAATACAAAAGTAAACGCCACCCCAAAAAAAAGTCCACTAAAAGCCCGTCTGGCTGCAATTGCTAATCCGGCTACGCGAAACACATTAGAATTACATTCGTAATGCGGACAAAACTTTTCTGGCAGTTGTTTCCAGGAGAATTGGCAGAGCAGCAGCAACTTTGTGAGCACAATTCAAGCGAAAATTATGCTAAAAGAAAATGTCCTTTCTGCTCGGGTCGACCTTGTCTGTGTAAGTTCGTGTGTGTGTGTGTGTGTGAAGACAGCGGCAAAGATTTTAATGTTTATGTGAAAAGTTTGTCGCAAAATTGGGCAAAAGGTTGCGTCTCTGAATGGAAATTGCTATGAAATGCAACTATTACTGCGAGTCTAACGAGTGCTCAGCAAGAATACTTCTGCAAGTAACTAGATACATTTACATAACGTGTGCTGAGAGTGGATAGTTCGGAAAGTAACTAAACACACTTACATACCTTGTGCTCAGAAAGGATACTTGTGGCAAGGAGCTAGATACACTCATATCCTGTTTGTGTGCGTCTGCTAATCAAGCTGTTTGCCAGGGTTCTATGCCATTTTGTTATTCTTGACTTGCAGCTAAGCTCATTGATAATACTGATAAGATATGTGTGTAGATATATATATATATATATATATGGAGATAGTGTTGCCTACATGAAAATACTTTTATAGACGCGATACCGATTTAGTTCGCCATATGGCAGCTCTGTAGATATCAATAACTTCCAACTGCTCTCAAGTGGAGCAGCACCGGCAGTCACAGCCGTTGTCATTGCACTGAGAAAAATAGCAGAAAATCCATCCATATGCGACAGGCTAAAAACACACAAAACACCTTCAAATCGATGTGTTTTGATATTCATAAATATATATAACAAATAAATGTTAAGTACATATTAAAAATAAAATAAGATAAATTTAATATTAAGATGAGTGTATGTATTTTGTGTATGTTGATCACTAATGAAAATTATAAATAAAAGTTTCTAAAAAATGTTCTTATTGTTATAAGTATAATTTTAAGAAAGCATAATTTGAGAGCGATGTCAACAATATTTATTAAGCTTTAGATAAATGTGTTTCCCTTTTACAAAAACATTGTCAATCCTCATCAAATATTTGTAGCTTAATCATAAAAAGAAGTCACTGAAATAACTGTCTCTCAGTGTAGCCATTGCACTTAGCCAGCTAAAAGTAGCTGGCTCCAGTTTTAGACCCCAGCACCAGCTCCACCCCTCCTAACTCTGCATACGAGTATCAATATCTACGAGGTTTTTCTAGTTGCTGTTGTTCCTGTTATTGTTTTAGACATGAGCACTTTTTGTGGTCGCTGTTTGTCGTGGCTGTGTGTGTGTGTGTGTGTGTGTGTGTGTTTGCTTTTATTGTCTTTCAGTGCTTGATTAGATAGCTGTGCCACACACACACACACTGAGTCACACACGCAATGCTGTGCGCCTGTAAAAATGGCCATATGTGGCCAAGTTGTTGGGCATTGTATTTGTTTGCAAAGGGACGGCAAAGTCCGTCAGTTGGTTCGACTTTGGCGCTGCATGCTTCTTGCCTGAATGTTTTGTTGCATAGCGGCAGGCGCCGTGGCGAGGCTTTTGTCTATTACCTGATGTCCGTCACTGTCCAAACGCCTGTCTACCGTTTCGTGTCTGTTGCTTATCGCGCTTTTAATATCAAAAAAATGAAAAAAAAAAACGAAAAAAAAATGCATGCCTAACGTGAGTTTTTCGATATAGCCATATAGTAGTCTCTCATGGCTTCCCATGCTACTCGGGCAAGGGGGCAGCAGTAGTTGCTGCCTTTATCTATGCAGATATCTTTCTCTGTCCGCCTGCCTGTGTATTTGTGTGTGTGTGTGTGTGGCATTAAAAACATTTTCATTGTAATCAAGCGTACTTTCTTTTATTATTATTATTTGCCTCTCTGTCTAATGCTAACGACGCAAATTACTCAAATGTATCTGCCAGATACTTTTTATTTTCTACTGTCGTGTGTAGTTCGTTCGTTCGCTTTTTTTTCGCTGCTCATATATTATTTATTGATCGCGATAAGCGTCACGAAGCCAATTTCAAGCGCACACCAAATGATAGAGAAGCACTCCAACTCTCCAACTCATACATCTAAAGCACCCACCCTCCCACGCTACCACCCATTTATCTAGGTGCCTTTGCCTTTGTTACGTTTAACTTGCAGCTTTTCCACTCATATTTCATATGGCAATAAAAACGAGGTACAGTCTGACCAACTCAGTGATTTCCTTACCAACCCGCCTTGGTGCGTGGCAGTTGAGTTTTGTCCCGGCCGCTTCCCTCAATTAACTCACAATCAAAGGTAGCCCTACACAGCCCTACCATATCGTACCCTCCAAACAGCCAGCTGCCAGATGCCGCTTCAGTAAGTAAGCAAGTAAGTCACCCCACTCGGCAAACGTCTTCAAGACGCTCTGGGAAAACAACTGTCGTCGTCGGCAGCGACTTCGACTTCGACTTCAGCCGTTACCTTTGCCACGTGCTGCATATGCAACATACACATGCAGCCGCTTAAGCACGAAGCGTAAAGGAAAACCCATTGCAAGGCGCACTCAATGGAACTGTAAGGCACACACCACCACCAAGCCATAGCATGCCACCATAGACCCAATGCTGCAGTAACTTATCGCCACCTTTTCAAAAATAAGAAATACAACAAAATATATGCCTTATGTTCGCTTTTTGTAACGTATTTTCTCAAACGCTGGCTGAGGCTATTACGAGTTTGTTGGACTTAACTTAAACACAACCCA